AATGAAAAAATAAAACTTTTCTTGCCACTATCATAGTGAAAAATGTAATACATCGAAAATGTACAGAAAATATAGTTCTTGTAATCCGTCATATCGTGGGCAGCTATTTTGATCCACCTGGACATCCCAGTGTCCTAGTTACCTCAGGCATGCGCGTTCGCATTTTTCTGAGTTGGAACGCTTATGTGAGAGCGAAATTGTAACGGGATCTTGGTATCATGTCACCGTAGTTGCAAACCCCAAGTAATGTACCTCTGATTATATATATAAGTATACTTACAGGAAATCGTTGTAGTCCAGATGGTGATGATGGTGATGGTGATGTAACTAACCTTGAAACAACACTATTATTCTGAACATTCTGAGTTTGTAAACGAACCTGCAAATAATAAAATTTGTTTCTACTGAAAACATTAAAACTTACATGGATGTTTACAGCCCTGTACATGTATTTGAAAGAAAAATTAAATATAAATTAAATAAACTGTACTGTAGTATAGTTTTGTTTGTCCAAGAATTACTTCTTTGTGTTTTTTTATATCAAGATGCAAGTGTCTAATTCATTTTTAATTAATGATTGCTGATTAATGACTTGTGGATGATTTCTGATCACATTTGATTAATGATTGCTGATTAATAATTTCTGATGACAACTGAATAATGATTTTTGATCACATTTGATTCATGATTTCTGATAAAACATATCAGATTATTTACATTAGATCAATGATTTCTAATTAATATCTAATTCATGAAAAAGTATGTCAGATTACCGGTAATTATTTTTTGATGATGATTTCTAATAATGTCAGTCAGAATGATTTCTGATTATTAGCATCAGATTAATAATACTAATTAATAACCAGAGTCTACCATGGTCACTATTCAGTTTCATTGATACACACACTAATAGTTGAATGTGGCTGTATCTTGCATTTTGGAGAATACCGATTATAAGCACCTGACCTTGAAAAAGACATGGATTTGTGATCTAATGACCTGAATAACAATAGATGCTTTTTATAGAGAAACTAGTTAGTACAGAATGTGAAAAAGCTTTTTTTTTCAATAGGTGAACTTTGACCTGGGTGGCAGGGAGTGTTGATCACACCATATGAATGAATGAACTTTATTGTTCCCGTGTAAAAAATAGTAGGTTACATAGGGTGTTTGCAACAATAAAGAATTTTTGTTAACAAGACAATATTTTGAAAATAACTAGAATGAATGTACTTAAAATTCACAAATAAATATGTATAAAAAAATAAATACACAAATAAATTATTAAAGAAATCTAATCTCTAATTTTAGTCGCAGCTAAAATAAAGTTTGATATCTCTTGTTGAACTAATTTATCTGGATGTGAAAGTAAATATGTGAAACAAGAAATGTTATTGTCAGCCGGAACTTTAATTTTCTGTAACAGCTGAGATCTCTGCTGTTCATATTTTTGACAATCTAAAAAGGAAATGGATCTCATCTTTAATGCAGTTATTACAAAA